TTGGCCCTCCTGGTTTAACAGGAGAGCGTAGACCAAGATTATCAAAAGTTATTTTTCTCCACATAACTTTAAAGACATTTTTCAGACTTTACCTATACGTCTCCTACTCTTGATTAATTTCCTACATATCTCTTTGCTTTTTCATGGTAAAGTCTGAAAAATAGTTGAATACAGCAGTATTTCAATAGGAAATCCCAGTTGAGTTTATTTCCTAATGCTCTCAAGCCCAATTATGATCCCTTGATTTAAGTTTTTAGCAAAATCAAAGCCATAAAAATTGCATTTCAACATTAATTTGGTTAGTGTATTACTTTGGCATGAAAAGGCTAGTAAATTTGAATCCTTTAATTTAGATGAAAGTATAATGTACAGCAAATTTTAACTGACACCTTATGAATCAACGCTCTCAATAAATATGTGAAAATTGTATGCTTGAAATACCGAAAGTTTACTGTTTTATCGCGATCTCTGCGATGTCCGAGTAGTCAGTTGAGGGTGCAAGTGGGAAGGCTCTCTGCTGCTAAGTTTTATTTCAGCAAAGTTGTGTTATTATTTAATTATTTATGCTGTAGGTAAGTATAACAGCGATGTGTTACGTTTCTATTACATAGTATGCATTTTTACAGTAATTATGTGGATCTCTTGATCATCCGGAACATTTGATTAACTGGCACACTCCTGGTCCCATAGGTGCCTGTTAATAAAAAGTTTGCTGTATAATTTACAGTGTTTTGTGCAGTCACGATTGGAAGTGGTATAAAGATTTGATTTCCTATCAGGCTTAAAATTTACAAGCTTACACTAATAGATGAAAAATAATTAACATCAAACTTGACAAAAAATTAGTGAAAGAACATCGGCATTGAAACCAATCAGTAAGACTTACATTGTTTCCCTTCTGTTGCAGCAGCTTCAAATTTTCTTTACAATTTTCAAGTTCTTCTGTGATGGACTCATTCTCTTTTTGAGTCTTGTCGAGCTTTTCCTTCAACTCCAGGTACATGGTCTGATTTGCTTCATACTAGAACACATATCAAATATAGGGAGGATGTTGTAGATACAATGCTTGTTCTGAACATATGTAGCAAGTATTTGTTTAGATTTTTAAATTCTATGACTTAATCATTAATCTACTATTAATTTCATATGATATTAACGTGTTATCTCTGATTAACACTTATCTCCAGTAATAACACTGCAGATTTATACTGTGCCTTTGCCAAACCTCCTTTTGTTGTATGTCCCAAATGCTGTATACAAATGCAGTTATAGTCTTTGTTGTTTAAAATTGCTATTTAAAATTCCTTTTCTTTCCCACGTTTTCCCTCTGGCATTCTCACATTACTCTGCTCCTGAATGTAATTAACTTATGCACTGAGTCCTGATATGTGCCGCCCAGTGCCAGATATGCTGTATACACCAGAGTCAAGTAACCTAACACTACTTACAATTAAGGATAACACAAGAGGAAAGGTAAATGGAAAAGGTGTAGGAAGACTGCTGTTACTTGATACTTCAGCATCAATAGCCAGCCTCAAAAATAAATTCCCAGAAGAAGAACAAATAGCTTGAATTTACTCTTCGATCAAATGAATTTAATCAAACAATCTCCTTCTTTCAGTGTAAAATGGATCATTCCAAATGGCTTATGTTTCTGATCAGGTTATAAATTCAGGTAAATTTGCGTTCTGAGCTTACAATAGCATCGTAACTGGTGCAGGTGTTTTAACTACAGAATTAATCTCTCCAATAATAAATTAAAAAAGGATCAAACTTTCACTTTTCTCAGCACGAGGAAAGAACAGGAAAAGGTATTCTTGGTTTAGTGAGAGCTGCTTATGATCTTTCCAAGTGATTTCAAAGACACTTTCACTTGTGAGGTAATGAATGGCTTTGTTTTGTGCACTGGCTCTGGTATAGCAATACATCATTTCCCACTAGAGCCAATACAAGTTAACCTCAGTCTGATTTATTTTATTCATTCATGGGTCACTGAAATGTGGGATAACAGGGTGTCACAGTCTGGATTAGCATTTACTGCCTATCTCTAATTGGCCAGAGGGCAGTTAAGAGTCAACCATGTTGCTGCCTTTATACTGAGTTCACATGTAGGCCAGACCAGATAAGGATGGCAGATTTCCTTCCTTAAAAAGGACAATAATGAACCAGATGGGTTTTTCCCAACAATTGTCAATGGCTTCATGGTCATTATTCGAGTCTTATTTCCAACATCAGCCATAGCAGGATTTGGACCCAGGTCCCCAGAACATTACCTGAGTCTTTGGATTAATAGTCTAGCGATAATATCACTAGGCCATCACCTAGCCATAACATAGGCTTATTGTGCAGTTTTCCTCTACTTATTTGGTGAGGTGACTGAAATATGGGGATAAAAACCTTTTGGAAGCTTCCCAAGGCAGAAATGGTGCAATAAAGCAATAGCACTGAAAATGCTGGCGAATGACTTGGCACATCATTACCCACCTTCAACTCCCTTGCTGCTAAAGCCAGATTTTTATCTCCATGTTTCAGTAATCATTGTTACTGTATCTCTGTGAAATTGACAAATTAATGTATTGTCAAGTCAGATTTATGCTATGACCCAAAGAAAAGACTTACACATTCTTGTTCCAGCTGGATTTCAGAACATATCCCTAAGGTTAAAGGAAGAGAATCTAAGCCACTGCACTATTCCTTCTAAGACAACATTAAATTCTTTTAATTTCTTATTTCATTTCATGAATTTAATTTCCTTACCAGAAGAAATAGTTTCTCTTTATCTACCATACTGAATAACTGTCACTTTAAATACTTCATTTCTATATTCAGGAAATAAAAGTCAAATTTATTTTATCTGTAAATAAAATTAATAATTTAAACCCTGGTATCATTCGATAATCTGGCCCTTATCAACAAATGATACGAGGGCTGAAATGATTAATATTCATGATAGGTAAAATAAATTTAGCTTGTATTCCAGGGCTACTAATTCTTTCCTGACATTCAGTGTCCTTCTTGAATCCAAACTGGATGACGTCATGTAAGTCCACATTTAACTCCATCTGCCTACTCCCTATATTTGTCTATACTGCTTAGTAATTCCTACTCCCAGTCATATAATTTACTGTGCCTATTAACATACTATTAGCTGAAAACTCATTAACACAATTCTCTATTCCTTTGTCTGCCTGAGTCACCAATATATACAGTACATGGTGAAAAGCAGAGACCTGTGTTTCCTGGTGAATGTCACTAGTCACGTCCTACCAATTACAGAACAAATATTTTATCCCAATTCTCTATCTCCTATCACCTAATCAAATCAATTCTAATCTCAAGGCTATAAATAATTTTATCAGCTTTCAATGTTTCCTATTTAACTCGTGTGAAATGTTATCAAATATCTTTTGGAAGCCCATATAATGTCCAAGATTTCAGTAAGTTTAGTCAGACATCATCAACTTTCATAAATCTATACAAATGCTCAGTGATCAGTGATTATTTGTCCAACTGCTCAGTTATTGTCTCTACGGATAGATTCCAGTAATTTCTTTATAACTCATTTTAAACTGGCAATTATCTATTTATTTACACCCTACCAAGTTAAATAATGGAGCCAGATTTGCAGTTTTCAATCCAAAAGGCACAATTACTAAAGCTGGAGAGTTTTGAAAGAATTCAACAAATGCATCTATTTCTTCACTTTTTTCAAAATACCTTGAAAAGAAATAATCAGGTCCATGAGATTTGCCAACCTTAAGCTCCATCGTTTTTTTTTTGCATTACCATCTTTTTGTAAAGCATTTAACATTTTCATGTAGGTTATCCTGCCAACAGTTCGACCCAGTTTACTATGGTCAACTTATTTCCCAACTTAAGGTTTTTATGAGTTAACAAACCAGTCTGTGACTTTCCCTTCTTCATCTGAACCTAATGACGGACTCAATTGTATGATGGTCACACTGTAAGAACAAGGCTCCCTTACTGTCAGATTTTTGAATGATGCTGGCTTGTTCATCATTAAATAAAGTTGATTCTAAAACATATTTGTTCTAGAAAACATAAGAAAATCCTTGTCTTTATTATTCCAGCTGCATTGCTTCTTCTAGTCAGTGAAAATTAAAATCTCCCATTGTAGACAAATAGATTTTTCATCTTTTGTTATTCTCCAATGATACCCATAATCTTTCCAGTGCAATGATCATCCTAATTGAAATGCCTTTCTAAAAGATCAAAAGGCTTGGACTATTTAGCTTCTAATCATGCTGTAATTATAATCAGGTCTCTGTTTTAATGGCTACTTTGTTGCCTTTCAGGTGAACCTTAGCTTTTAATGTGTGGTTTATGTATTCAAAATTCTCTCTTTATAGCATGTGCATCTTATTTGGGTAATTTTCCTCACTGTCCCCATATGTTCTGCAGTATGGTGCACATTCAATTGAAACAAATACCATGGAAAATCACACACCCAAATACCTCGATCACTTCTTTCTGGAATTATGAGAATATACATTTGTGAAGCACATTATAGTTAATCGAGTTCTTCCATAAAAGGTATGTTACCTGTTGCTGAAACTTCTGAGTCTCATTCTCAGCCTGTGTTAGTTGTACTCTTAGTTCATTTGTCTCCTGAGAGCGTTGCTCCTTTAACGTTCCAACCTGAACTTCTAGTTCTTTACGAGAGATCTCCAGTCCACTGACATCTTTGGTCAGTTTAACACTCTGTTGCTGAGCACTGTAACAATAATCATAGGTTGTTTTTCAATATTTCCCTCAGTCATATCTGCAAGTAAATTATTGAAGTATAATGCACTCAAAACAAAGTTGAAATCAATTTCATCTGTAAAACGTACTTATCAGATCTTAATTAGTAGCACAATAGAGAACTGTGTCAATCACGTCTGTGTCAATAATTTGCTTGAGCAGTTCAAAACTTATCTAACTCACCTGCTTTCTCCCCATACCCTTTACATCTCCATTTGCTTTAAATACTTACACAATATTCTGTTAAAAGATACAGTACTCTTTGCCACAAGGAGTAATTGAGGAAAATCCTAAAGGATCTGATATGTATTTTAACTAATAGATATACTACACATCAGTCAGTATGAAGACGTGTTTGTTGCCTTTCTTGGCAACTCCAAAGTAGAGGGTACAACACCACATAAAAACAACTTTTTACCAAAACTTCACATCAACAAGACCTGTTCCTTGACATATTTAAATTCTCCTGAAGTATCTCCACAGGTGGCTGACTGGAATTTCAAGCCTGTTTCAAGTCTGCTATATATACACATTAAGAATACATGGCACACAACAATATTCTGTGACAAATTCTTCCAGTTTTTGACTTTGAATATATATTCATTGAGTTTATCAAGTTCAAGGCAAGAAACCAACAGAATACTCTATTAAATCAGTATTCTCATTTCTAGCGTTTCACTACTTCAGAATACAAAAAGGCAATATATTCCCAAGCTGCTGGCAATACCATTGTACAATTAGCCAATAGACTTCATATACAGGAATAGTTTATTCCAAGATTATTTCTTTCATTGCCTTGTCAGGATACAACTCAGATCCCCCAGACATCTTGAAGGGTGGGAAGTTGAAGCACAATGTTCTGGCACATGAAAATGTTTTGCTACAAACTTAATTTTCAGCAAATGCAAGAAAAGTTCTGAAAATCATTTTAAACAAAAGTACTACATTAAAAACACTGAATCTATGATAATTCCTTAAATTAAGTAATTAGAGTCACAGTCATACAGAACAGAAAGAGACCCTTTGGTTCAACTCATCCATGCTGACAAAGTTTCCCAAACTAAACTAGTCCCAATTGTCTACGTTTGGCCCATATCCCTATAAATCTTTCCTATTCATGTACCTGTCTGAATGTCTCTTAAATATTATAACTGTACCTGCACCTATCATGTCCTCTTCATTCCACATATGAACCACTTTCTGTGAGAAAAAGTTGCCCTAGGTCCCTTTTAAATCTTTCTCCCCAACTTTAAAAATATGCTCCTAGTTGTGAACTCCACCATCCTAGGGAGAAGACCTTTGCTACTCACCTTATCTGTGCCGCTCCTGATTTTATAAACCTCTATAAAAGTCACCTCTCAACCTCTTACATTCCCGTGAAAAAAATTCTCAGCCTATCCAGCCTCTCCTTATGACTCAAACCCTCTAGTCCTGGAAATATCTTTTCTGAACCCTCTCCAACTTAATAACACTCTTCCTATAGCAGAACAACCAGACTGTACACAGTACTTCAACACCAACACCCTGCATAACCTCAACATGACGTCCCAGCTCCTCTACTCAATAGTCTGAGCAATGAAGTCAACTGTTTTAAACACCATCTTAACCATCCTATCTACCTGTGATGCAACTTTAAAACAACTATGTACCGGAATCCCTGGGTAGGAAGTACTGAGTGTATCATTTGAACAGAGCTGTTAGTGGAAAATAATGTCAGTATTTTGTAAGTCAAATTTGAAAACCTACCTTTAAAGTGAACAGTTATGGTTAGAAATGGAGACACCAGAAATAAAAACATTAAAACTAAATAAGAACATGAAAAATAAATAAGTAGCAATTGCTGGAACTTGCCATTGGAGCTCTTCCTCAAACCACTGCAGCTTTTCTGTCAGAATAACATTTTCGTGTCGAAGGGAATCACAATCATTCTGTAGCCCATTGCTCTGCTTTTGTAATTCATCCAGTTTACCTATCAGCAACAAAATTGAAAAGATTACAGTAGGGTGTAGACTGTACCACAACATTCAACAATACATGTACAATAAAACAGAATCTGTATTTTCCAGTTAGGTCTCCAAATTCCACATTTTAATTTTTTTTTACGATAGTAATAAATATATTGCTCAAGATTGTTTTGAATTAGAAGCAATTGCTACATCATATAAAGGAAAGAAACAAATTTCGCACTAATAAATCCAGAAGCAAAGTTAGTGCTGCATGTAATTCATTCACAAGTTCATAAGGTATAGGGTCAGTTTTCAGCCATTCGGCCCATCGAATCTGCTCTGCCATTCGATCATGGCTGATATGGTCCTCACCCCCAATTTCCTGTCTTCTCCCCATAATGCTTCAACATATTACCAATTAAAAATCTTTCTAACTCCTCCTTAAATTTACTCACTGTCCCAGCATCTACTGCACTTTGGTGTAGCAATTTCCACAGAGTCACAACCCTTTGGGAGAAGTAGTTTCTCCTCAACTCTGTTTTAAACTTGCTAGCCTTTATCCTAAGATCAGAAATCACACGACACCAGGTTATAGTCCAACAGGTATATTTGAAAACAAGCTTTTGGAGCCTCGCTCCTTCTTCAGATGGTAGTGTGACAGGTATTATCAGACACAGAATTTATAAATAAAAGATCAAAGGGTTACACTACTGATGAGAATGTATTAAACAAACCTAAGATGCTGTTAAATCTTTAATCAGTTAGAAGGTTTTAATTGATTAATGTGTATATGAAAATCCCCAAATTCCTTTCAAGTCACTGTCCTGAGAGAACTGAAGGCTTTATCAGTGTAAAGAAGAGATGACATTTTAGGTCAGACAACGTATGTTAGATGTGAGGCCTTGTTTCGAAATTGTTAATGTTTTGGTTTGGAGTCAGGCAGGTTTTATTTCTAAAGTTTTATAAAACACCTCATTGACTGATTGTCTATAAATTGTGTGCTTTTTGAACAAAATAGAA